ATGAAAGCATCTCTGTAATTTACTGAGAAAAGCCTAAAAGAAGAGTAGAAGTACAAACATGGTCATCCTGAGGGGAGTGTGCGCTCAGGACAATCTCCCTCTATCCCAGCCCCTGCCTCCAACCCACATCTTCCCGCCAAAACCCTGTTCCGCTCCCTCCCATTACACTTTTTCCTTCAACCCACTTTCCCCCAAGGGACGCAACCTGGCTGGAGCAGTGCTGCTCAGTTTCCTGCAGCTCCCATAGCTGATGGTGAGTGCAGGTGTGGGCCCGACCTCTGCTGCCAGTACCAGGTCCTCTGCTAGTCCCCCAGGCAGGGCCCAGGGTGGCTACCCCAAGCAATGCATAGATGGGACAGTTCTGAGCACAGTATATTCAGAGCTAGGGTCATACTTGAAGAAACTCATTATCTCTGCAAGTGTGGAAATATATCCGAACAAAAACTTAACTCTACATGTAGAGAAGCCAGCCTCCAATCTTCCCTTATTTATAGGTCTGAATACAATTTTATATGAGATTCTGGATCATGGGCTTAAAAAAAACAAACAAGAGAAATCTGAAGCTGAAGGCTGAAGACAATTTAATTATGGAGATGATGTACTCATACAAGGTAGGGTAAAACATCATTGTGCATCAGTGATAAGCAAGGATCTTAAAACCATTGCCACGGAAATCTGTTTATCAAAGCCTCCATAATGTAACTGTTTAACAATTGAACCAACAGCCACCTGAGGCAGGCATTCGGAGCCCCTGCTACTGTCAGACATGGGAAGGGTTAATGTGGAGATGTGGAAAACTGGTTTTCTACATTACTACATACATGCCTCTCTCTCGTACTATGGGTGATTACCATCCTTTTTCATGTTACCTTCATGTTTTCATCCTTGACCTAATATATCCAGATATACCAACTCTGTCAGGCACTTGTGAAGTCACATGGACTCTTGAAAAGTGGGGAATAGTATGGAGAAGACATGTTAGAAATAGAATTCCAAGTCCATGTACACATTTATAAATTTAGACATTTTTATCAATCATATTTTGTATTGGGTGGATTAATCAGATTTTATTTAAAAGTACATTACAACAAACTATTTAGTAATGATGCTCAGAGAAGGAAAGGAATGCACCAGTCTCAAGGTCTATTGAGCCCCATTTATTTTTTTTACCCCCTACACAAGGGGATAAAAACTACATCATTATAATGAGTTATTTCATCATATGTGCTTCCTGTCCAGTAAACATTTTGCTATTCCCTTCCCCAAGTACAGGAGGCTATGAATATTCTCTTGCCACTAGCCACCTTTATACAGGAAAATGCAGTAGTGGTACTGTTGAGATTTTGGTTGTGTACTCTCCACATAATTTTCAGGATTCTATCAAATGGCACCTGTAAGGAAGTCTGTAATCCAAAGAGAGCCACAACCTTCCATGTAAAAAATAAGTATATAACAGCTGATCTTACAGTGGACTGGAAAGAGAAAGAGAAGACGTTATTCAGAACACGCACACCCCCTACCCATATTCCCCCACATTTTTGCCACATAAAATCTGTTGTGGGTTCTGGGCATGAGAGAGACCTATTTGGGAATATTTTGAAGAAATTCATTCTGTGTAAAAAGAAAAACGTGTCAAGTAGAAGCAATGCAAGAAGATGATGCAGGGCCTAGTTTCATGAAACAAGATAAGGAAAACAGCTTACTGAGAGAAAATTATGTGGCTGAAGCTGTGGATATTAGAAATGTAAAAAGTCATTTGAAAATGTAACTGTTCCAGCCCCCACCAATTAACCGGAACCGGTAAGCCTCACTCATTACTAGTGAGGCTTACTGGTTCATTATTTACATCTCTAGTGGATATGACTGAGTGGATCAACTGGTTAGTAACTTAAATAATTCAAAAAACGAGGAGTCTTGTGGCACCTTAAGGCCAACAGATTTATTTAAGCATAAGCTTGTGTGTAAATCTCAATGTATCATTCTTCAAGACTCTGTCTTATACAACTGTTAGACAAATTCCCAAGCTGTTTACTGTGTCTGATATTGCTAGAAAAAAGTTTTAAAAAAAAGATTAACTATTCCTTATGGCTTGTTTGATTAGTTAAGTAGATTTAGAATCTATCACTCAAGCATACAATACAGAAAACTGCGTAAGAGGAATGTAGAGTTGCCAGTTATTCACCTTGATTTGAATCAATCCACCTTGATTATAAAGGTGCCATATAATAGTGTAACTTATTCACCTTCACTTATGGGAATTAGGGATATTAAATGCCGGTTAATTGAATAATGAGTAACCTCATGAATTCTTATCAGTTACTCAACTATTCTATAGTCCCCGAAAGGGGTAGTCAGTGTGCTCTGTCCCCACTCCTGATGAGCCTCCTGCCACTCTCTGATGCTGCCTCTAGATCAGAGGCAGCAGCGTGGGGTGCCAAGTGGGAGGCTGGTCCCCAAGGAGAGCCAGTTTAAAAACCAGCTCCCCTCACAGACTGGCTGCCTGTTGCCCTGTGGTGATGCCTCTGATATAGAGGCAGCAGTGTGGCGTGGCAGCAGCCTATCTGGAGGAGAAGGAGTCTGAGCTTCTGGACCCAGCATGAACTGGAACTGAGCCAGACTGCCTGCCCGCCTAGCTCCTAATACACTTTAAATGTAGAGCTGCAGCATTTAAAGCTGTCCCAGACCTGTCACAAGCCTGGACTGAGCAGGACTGCTGGCCAGCCTGCTAAAAAATTTACTGGGGAAGCAGTAGAGGCAGGGGGGATTTGCATGTAGTCTATAGCAGTGTTTCCCAAACTATGGTCTGCAGCCCAGGAAAAAAATACCGGGCCTCAGTATGCCTAGTGGCTGTCAGCAGGGTCGGCCTTAGGCCAATTCAGGCCCCGCGCCCCTGAACCCGGAACTCCTCCGGCTCTACCTGGAGCGGGCCCGGGTCCCCCGCGTGTCCTCCCACCCCGCCCCCAGAGCGTCCCCGCTGTGTGCAGCTCCTCCTCACCGCCTGCTGCTGCCCATGTGCGGCATTGCCCATGTGGGCGGGGAGGACGCCTGGGCGTGATGTGACGTCACTGCCCGGGATTTTAAAAGTCTTCGGAGGCACGTGGCGGGGCCACGCTGGCTCCAGCGGCCTCTGGCCTCGCAATGTGGAAGGCTGAAGGTAGGGAATGGACTTGGGTGGAGGCGAGGAAGCAGCAGCGGCGGGCTTACGCAGAGGGGAAGGAGTGGAAGGAGAAGGGGCTTGGGAGGGGAAGGCACCAAGGGATGGTGCAGGAGAAAGACACAAATGCCAAGGGGCCAGGTGCAGAAAATGAGGGAAAAGGTAAGAGGGGCGGTGTCAGTGGGAGGGGGGACAGGGTGATGCTGGGAGAGGAGAGGGGAAGGGCATTGGAGGCTGGAGGAGGGGGTGCTGGGAGAAGGCTTGAAAGAAGGGGTGGGCATGAGAGACGTGGGGATGGAGCAAGTCATGTGTGAGGGCACAGAGGGGCAGGAGGGGATG